GGGGGGGAGGAAGAGAGAGATGGAGGGGGGGGGACTCCTCAAAGCAAAACCGAATTCAAGAACACCCATCCTAGGTCATTCACTTTATGTAAAGAGTTTTACGGCACTTGCAACACAATAAGGTCATGTATCATTCACTTTGTAGCCAGTATGATATACAAACTGAGCTAACGGTGTACCTTCTACGTGAAAGAAAGAAAGAAAGAGAGAAAGATAAAGAGAGAAAGAAAGAAAGAAAGCAAAAAAGGAAGGAAGAAACAAACAAGCAAACAAATGTGAGGCAGCGTGGTGGAATCAGGCTCTCGTCAAATTAATAAAAGTGAAGAAACTTGCACTTTTCCGCAGGTTTATGAATTTTTATCAAATTTTTTTGTTTATCACCTTTCATGCCCATTAAAGAACTCATTTCTGTGTATATTTTTCTGAAAAATGTTGATTAAAGGCACAAAATAAGTAAATTTTCGGTTACCATGGACTCTTAAGCTAAGGAAATAACTAATCTTTGGCTTCCATTTCCTCACTAATTTTACCTCTGAAAACAGGTGACCCCCACCTCCTTCATTCGCAAATATCTCGACTTGTATTCAAGATAAATGGATATGTTTTTCATCCAAATAGAGACAAGTGAACAAGCTTTTTGATGATACCTATAACTCTACATGCACAAAAATTGACGAGAGCCTGATTCCACCACGCTGCCTCAGAAATAAACAAACAAACAAACAAACAAATAAACAAAAAGAGAGAAAGAAAAAGATAGAAAGAAAGAAAGAAAGTAAAAAAGGAAGAAGGAAAGAAATAGAAAAAGAAAAAAATGAAAGAAAAAAAGAGGTGGGGGGTGAGGGGCTGGTAAAATTGGGAGAGGGTATGACCAGAGAGGGTTTACAGTAGTATTACTGTAAACTCTCTGGTATGACGGTGCAGAGAAAGGCGACATGCAGTTATAAGCTGTGTGAAGTATGGCAACACAAAGGAACAATTATTTACATTTGCATTTGGGATTTTTTTTTTCTTTTTCAATGTTCACATGTGTGCGCACACATGATCCGTGAAGCAGGGGGAGGGAGGGACTTCACCATCTGTGTGTGTGTGTGTGAGTGTATGTGTGTGTGTGTGTGTGTGTGTGTGTGTGTGTGTGTGTG